GGGTGGAGAGGGAGGTGGGAGGGGGGATCGGGATGGGGAATACATGTAAATCCATGGCTGATTCATGTCAATGTATGACAAAAACCACTACAATATTGTAAAGTAATTAGCCTCCAACTAATAAAAATAAATGAAAAAAAAAAGGCAGGAAGTCCTGCCACTTGAGACAACATGCATGAATCTTGATGTCATTATACTAAGTGAAGTAAGTCAGACAGAGAAAAATAAGCCTTGTATGACCTCACTCACACAGGTAAGTTAAAAATCCCTGAACTCATCAGATCAGATTTGTGGTTATCAGAAATGAGGGTGGGGTAGGGGAGATTGAATGAAAGTGGTCAAAAGGTATAAGCTTCTAGTTATAAATGTATCATACTTGGGATGTAATATATAGTGTGATGACTATGGTTAACATCACTGGATGATATATATGAGTTATTTTCAAAGAATTTTTTTTACGTGGACCATTTTTTAAAGTTTTGATTGAATTTGTTACAATATTGTTTCTATTTTTTTATGTTTTGGGTTTTGGTCATGAAGCATGTGGGATCTATGCTCTCTGACCAGGGATTGAACCCACACTCCCCACTTTGGAAGGTGAATCATTGAGCCACCAGGGAAATCCTGTATGCGAGTTATTAAGAAAGTAAATCCTAGGAGTTCTCATCACATGGAAAAGAGCATTTTTTTGTCTTTTTCTTTTTTGTATCTATATGAGATGATTAATGTTGAATAAAATTGTGCACACCATTTTATGATAGTTTTAAGTCAAATCATTATGATGTACACCTTAAATTTATACATTGCTGTATGTCAATTATATCACAATAAAATTGGAAAACAGTTTTAATACTAATGGGTGATATTTAGAGTCCTTATCAAGTGCTTGGTTTACATAGTGAGTGCTGTGTTTTGTATCTATCTCACATATCTATATATCTCATATACGATCTCATTTAATTATCACTTAAGTCCTATGGGTTAGGTTTTGTTACTTTTCCCATTACACATATAAAAAACCAGAGATGTGTAACATAAGATGCCATGGTCTCACAGCCACATGGTTAGTTGGGTGGTCAATGATCCAGTTTCCCTGGGACTTACTGCTTTAAGGATCGTAAGTCCCATGTTTAGGGAAAGCCAGTTCCAAGAAAACTAGGATGACAGATTACCCTAAAAGTCAATATCCAAACCCAAATTTATTTTAGTTAAATTTGAAACTAATAAAAAACTACTCTGTACTACCTATAAAAAGTATGGTCCCTGGCAAGGACATACTTATAGAAAGGAATAGAACATATGCTCAGTTCAGTTGAGTTGCTCAGTCATGTCCAACTCTTTGCAACTCCATGGACTGCAGCACAACAGACATCCCTGTCCATCACCAACTTCCAGAGCTTGCTGAAACTCATGTTCATCAAGTTGGTGATGCCAACCAACCATCTCATCCTCTGTTGTCCCCTTCTCCTCCTGCCTTTAATCTTCCCCAGCATCAGGGCTTTTCCAATAGGTCAGTTCTTCCCACCAGGTGGCCAAAGTATAGGAGTTTCAGTTTCAGCATCAGTCTTTCCAGTGAAGATTCAGGACTGATTTTCTTTAGGATTGACTAGTTTGATCTCCTTATAGTCCAAGGGTCTCTCAAGAGTCTTCTCCAACTCCACTGTTTAAAAACATCAATTCTTTGGTGTTAAGCTTTCTTTATAGTACAACTCTCACATCCATACACGACTACTGGAAAAACCACAGCTTTGACTAGACGGATATTGCTGGCAAAGTAATGTCTCTGGTATTCCCATCTTTTTCAGAATTTTCCACAGTTTGTGGTGATCCACGCAGTCAAAGTCTGTGGCATAGTCAATAAAGCAGAAATAGAGGTTCTTCTGGAATTCTCTCGCTTTATCTATGATCTGATGGATGTTGGCAATTTGATCTCTGGTTCCTCCACCTTTTCTAAAACTAGCTTGAGCATCTAGAAGTTCATGGTTCACATATTGCTGAAGCCTGGACTGGAGAATATTAAGCATTACTTTACTAGCGTGTGAGATGAGTGCTATTGTGCAGTAGTTTGAGCATTCTTTGGGATTACCTTTCTTTGGGATTGGAGTGAAAACTGACCTTTCCCAGTCCTGTGGCCACTGCTGAGTTTTCCAAACTTGCTGGCGTATTGAGTGCAGCACTTTCACAGTATCATCTTTCAGGATTTGAAACAGCTCAACTGGAATTCCATCACATCCACTAGCTTTGTTCGTAGTGATGCTTTCTAAGGTCCACTTGACTTCACATTCCAGGATGTCTGGCTCTAGGTGAGTGATCACACCATCGTGATTATCTGGGTCATGAAGATCTTTTTTGTACAGTTCTCCTGTGTATTCTTGCCACCTCTTCTTAATATCTTCTGCTTCTGTTAGGTCCATACCATTTCTGTCCTTTATTGAGCCCATTTTTGCATGAAATGTTCCCTTGGTATCTCTAATTTTCTTGAAGAGATCTCTAGTCTTTCCCATTCTGTTGTTTTCCTCTATTTCTTTGCATTGATTGCTGAGGAAGGCTTTCTTATCTCTCCTTGCTATTCTTTGGAACTCTGCATTCAGTGGGTATATCTTTCCTTTTCTCTTTTGCTTTTCGCTTCTCTTCTTTTCATAGCTATTTGTAAGGCCTCCTCAGCAGCCACTTTGCTTTTTTGCATTTCTTTTTCTTGCAGATGGTCTTGATCCCTGTCTCCTGTACAATGTCACAAACCTCCATCCATAGTTCATTAGGGACTCTGTCTATCAGATGTAGTCCCTTAAATCTATTTCTCACTTCCACTGTATAATTGTGAGGGGTTTGATTTAGGTCATACCTGAATAGTCTAGTGGTTTTCCCTGCTTTCTTCAATT